TGTTAATTAAAAATACCCATAGGGCTTATATCTAAACCAATAATTGAAAATTTTGGGCTGGCTAAATCATACTCAGGGGACTAACCGTCCCCTAAGCCCCACCACGTTGCACCATCCGGATTAGTGGCTACTGTGAATACCACGAGAAACATAAATATTAAATGATCACTAATTATTCACATTGATAATCAGTTTTTATAATTTTATTGAACATAATACAATATAGGTATACGCATTCTAAGCATACACACTACGCAGCCAACCTAAAATAAATACATTGTTGTACTTATAAGAAATTATAAAAATATTTTTAAAAGTGAAAAAAAATATCAGGCATTTCTAATGTGAAATGCCTACTCATTTGTTCTTCATTCACCGCCTCATATCATTAAATTTACTTATTGTACACACATTGGTTTATCAACAACCAATGATATTTTTTTAGCTACATATTATACCTTCAAAAACATGTTGAGTACTCATGACTTTTTTATTATAAAAATATTCATAACACTTAATATATACAGTATTTTATGCTCAGAAATATATAATTTTCAAAACGTTAAACATAATTACAATTTACATTATATAATATAAAAAGGGATAAAGTATATTAGAAAGGCTTGGGAACATAACTTTTAACAAAATTAAAATGTTTTCTCAAAATAATGTTATTTATAAATAAGTTAAAATTAAAATAGATAAAATGATAATACAATAGATTATCAATTTAAAGTTTAAACATGTTATTATGTTATATTATATTTTTGATTATAATATTTAAATATTCTAATGGATCTAGCAATTTCTGAGAAATACTGTAATAGATCTTCAATGGAAAATTATTTTCTCATAACACTTAAAAAAATGGGAGGGTCCTGCATCAACATTTTTAAATTTAAAAAATAAGGACCACCCTAATAGATATATATATAAAACTGAAACCAAGCAAATGAGGAAATCTTTGTTACGGTTTGGCTTTGAAACTTCTTATCCAATTGTCATGTAGTTTTTTTTAATGAAAGCGGATATCACGGAGCAGGTTTTAGGCATAAATAAAGTCCGATAATGTTAGTCAATAATTAGTTATCTATACATATTATAAAATCCAAATACCACTGACTCACTGATCGCTGTATCTCAAAAACTACTCAACGTACAGACTTGAAATTTGGAATAGAGGTTCTTCTCATATTTTCACCGTGCAATAAGAAAGGATTTGCCAAAATTCGCATTTTAAATAGGTGCTCAAACAGGGACATTGAGATTCACGATGGAAATTGGAAATTTTATTTTTATTTATTAATAGTTGCCACTGGTTACAGTCTACAGTAGAAATTAGCATTTATTTATTATTGGTTGCCATTGGTTATTCGGGCAGATCGGGTACAAGCTTACATCAAATCGAATTATTGAACATTGCCTACCAGGGTGGCTGAGTTGCACTTACCGCAGCAAGTTACACCCAAAAGGATTTGAACAATCATACATTTTTTAAGAGTTGCGATTTTTTACGGGCAACCAAATTTGTTATATTAATCCACCGTATTATATCAAAATAAACTTGGTATAACTTTGATACTTTAGAGTTAAATCATACACTTATACGTACAAACACAGCTGGGTCTGTGATCTACCGCAGGTAGATTGCCCACGCCGCACCTGATATATACTGCTGCGAATCAGAATTTTTATTCCAGGCAACAGAATAGGTAAGATACATTTTGAACACCATACAACAAATTTTAAATAACGAATTGAACAAAGTTTGAGTCATATAGAGTTGGTACATTTAACGGGCGACGAAGTGCACGGGATCAGCTAGTATATTATATAATACTGTTATTAAAATAATTAAAATTAAAATAATCAAAATTCTTAACAATAGAAAGGTATAATAATAATTGTACACACATATAATATTATATAGATAATGAATAATTCAATGTACATAGGCACAAGTTTTTGTTCAATAAACATTTAAAGTTCAAATGTTGACAAAATTTATCGAAAGCTCAAAAATTTGCAAATTATTTTGTAGTAAAAAATTTAACACTCAGTTCAATTAGGCACGTTACATGGTCTTAGTTATAGTAAAAAATATTCATATAACATATAGGTAGTTTGAGTAAAAATGAATTCAACTAAATTGTGTTCAGTTCATTTAGGATTGAATTTTATGATTAAAGTTAGAAAACAACGCGCTTTTGGGTATACACCTTTTTTTCAGTTCTATTATTAAATAATATTGATGCGCAAATGATTTATAACCTTTTAAACGATCGATAACCCAAAAATGAAACGATGCGCAACTGTCTTACAAAAAAGGTCAAAAATAACAATAGTGATGCGCAAACGAGTAACGACAACCGGCGGCTAAATCATACACTTACGTACAAACAGCACGGGGACAGCGATCTACCGCTAGGTACAGCTGAGAATCAGAATTTTTATTCTGGGCACAGCGGAAAAGTTAAGATAAGTTTTGAACACTATACATCGAATATTAAATAACGAACTGCACAAAGTTTGAGTCATATAGAGTTGGTCCATTTAACGAGCAACGATATGCACGTGATCGGTTTTTTTGTAATAAAAATATATTTATCATTAATACCGCTAGAAACATTTCAATACGCTTTCATTAAAAGTTTTTTTATATTTACTTGCCGATGACATTAAGCGATAAAATTTGAATAAAAAATTATACATATCATCGTCCAATGGCAAAATAAACAACCAATCGCGGGCGAAGCTGTGACGGGTCGGCTAGTTGATTATATTTATAAAAAAAATTATATTTTACTGAAAAAAAATAATATCTTATTAAATAATAAATAATAAACTTAAAAAAAAAAATGGGGGGAAAATGTCCGCATCGAATATAATTGGGGGGGGGGGAAATGTCCTACTACGCCAAAAACAGTCGGGGGGAAATTGTCCGCCATTAATTTAAGAAAACCTGCTAATCTCAAATAAATCAAATGGTAAATAATAATAGGTTACCAGCTATATCTAATGTGAATAATGTTCAATTCAATTTTTTTTTTATAATGTGATATTTTTTCCGCGTAGATACCACCTATGATGACGTTATTGAGAAACGCCTGTTTAAAATAGGTATTCTTCTTATTTTTTTCGTCTTTGAGTATTTGAATTTACAAGAGTTGCCAAGATATTTACTTTCGTTAAAAATGTGTGTAAAATAGTCCAATGAATAACAATAATAAGTCAATAAAAAATGTATAATGTCAGTATATAATTAGAATTACAAAAAAAGAATAAGAAACATAGTTAAATATTGTGTAGTATATATTAGTACATAAATAATGTTTTGTTATTTGTTTTTTTTTTGTGGAGTGAGGGACTACTTACTAGGTAGAATACCTACTGAATATTATATGAATGTGAACAAGCTCCCCTTGAGATTACCTTGCTAGTTGCTATAAGCATAATATACCAATATACCATATTAATACCTTTAAATCTTAATACCTTATAATGTACAAGTTTAAAGTGTGGGGTTTATGAATAAATAAAAAATGCAGTTCAAATGTTTTTCCGGGCATTTATTTTCTGATTAATCTTTACTCCAAGACCATTATAATAGGTATGCAAATGAACATTTGTTCCAAATGTTTTGTTTAATAAATTAATAAATCCTGTGGAACAAATAAATTATGGAACAACAAACGTTCATCGGAACAAAGATATATGTAAGAAGATATATAATTGAATGGATGTCAATTGAAACAAATGTCTTTCGATGAATGTAAATAGGAACATAGGTAAAACTTGGAAATTAATATCAATGGAATAAGTTGACTTGGAAAAAAAAATGTGGAACAAAATGTAGTTTCCAAAATGATGATTGATGACAACAAGCATTATTAAAGGGTTTGATATAGCTATAAAGGCGTAGACACAAATAACGTTTGAAATTTGAGGGCAAATGAAACCCTACTATAATAATATTGAAGAAGTTTAAAAAACTGTTAGGTAATATTGGGGGGGGAGGCTATTGAAATGTTTTAAAGCCCCTCGTTGCACCTATGTATATCCACAAAATATAGCCTATGCGTAAATATACGTAAATAATATATAGGTACCTATACGAAATTTCAAAATTTTAACTTTCTAAATTCTGATATTTAATTTTCTGGGAAATTATGGTCTACAGTATCACTTTCTGTAATACAACGTTCTGTGATTATAATTTCAGGCTTTAAACTTTATGGAATTTAATTTTCTGGAAAATTATGGTGGACGTTATCACTTTCTGTATAACTACGTTCTGTGATTATAATTTCAGGTTTTTAACTTTCTGGGATAAAAATTCTGTATACATATTTTATGTTCATTTTATTTTCAATATGAAAACAATTCTGGAACATTAATTTCCATGTGTTTTGTTTTCTGTAATTTTTCTTTCTGTCGTTTTATTTTCTATCACTATATTTTTCTGTTAAATTTAATTTATGGATTACTAACGTTCGGTTCATTTATTTTCGGGAAAATGATACGTTCCCTCACCTTATAATATACATTATCTGTGGTGGTTCAAAACAACTATAATAGTGATAACTGATAAGTGATAAAGTTCTATTACCAAGTCGAAATAGCCGGTTACAACTTAAAAAATTCACTTAAGTACTTAACCTTTAGTTTTTACTCAGCTTTTTTTACATCAGTAAAACCGATTATTCACCGTTTTATACGCCTATTAGAATACCTGAATACACATTATTATTATGTACCCTGTAAATTGTAATACGCTATATTAACCTACGAAATTAATAACTATTTTGTTATCAAAACGAGTTATCTACCGTAGATAACTCAATACTATTTTTTTGTTATTATTATTATTATTTTCAGTATGTAACAATGTGATTTATAGGTAAGTAATGGGTAGGTATATAAGTGCTTCTTAACATGGTCCCGAACTGCTATTTTTTCAAATTTATGATTTTATAATAATCCTCGTACAACAAACAGCGATGAACTCTTTTCCGCCACGAACTGCTACGCTTTTGTACGAACTGGACAGTAAGTGTAAAAAATGATAAATTGATTGATTTGTCAGTGTCTAATATTGTATATTTATTGTATTCCAAACAGTCATTGTCGTTAATATTTATTGTTCTTTTTTTTTTGTATTATAGAAAAGCTCATGGTTCTTTTACGTGATGGCAGAACGCTTATTGGATACTTACGAAGTGTTGATCAATATGCCAATTTGTTGCTTCAGCAAACAGTTGAGCGCATACATGTGGGTAAGAAATTTGGTGATATACCCAGAGGTGTGTTTTTGGTGAGAGGAGAAAATGTCGTTTTACTCGGAGAAATAGTAAGATTGTATTCAACATTTTGAGTTAAATTTTGACAATGTTAGTCATTGATGTTTGTTTTTAGGACGCACTAAAAGAGGCCGATCAGATGTTTGAAAGAGTGTCGATAGGAGACATTTTAGCGTTACAAAAACAAGAGCAAGATGCCAAGATTGAAAAGGCTAAATCTATTGAACGGTCTTTGAAAAGAAGAGGTATGCGATTTCCTCCTGACCTTGTTCAAGATGATTTCCTTTGATTAACATGATAAATTTGCAAAAGTAAACAATCAACAAATAGTGATACTTTAATGTTTTCCAATTTTGTAGATTTGTTAATTATTTTAACTTTGAATTCTAACAAATTAGTAACTAAAGGCTGTCAAAATATTTACAATTATATTTTTTATTTAAATAGTAAGAGTAAAAAATTGTTAGTATCTTTTATTAATTTACCTAATAATAAAAACATGGTGATTTTTATATTTTACGCAACGTCAAGGAAACCAACTTTTTTCAATTATGTGTTTCACACCATTTTTTTGGAACAATAAAAGATCTTAAAAATGTTTATGTTACCACTATGTTTGGAAATTTAATGCGAATGGTATATCGTGTAAAGTATATATTATAATGTTGACTTATTCCATGTAAATACAAGCAAAATGTGTAATGCAATTGTCATTTGTCATTCATTTTTTTATTTTTTTATTCAACCTTAAATTAATAATTTACATTAAACATTTCATTTGTCATTAAATCATTAATTTTTTAGTTAATAGATTTTCTAAATTTATTTTCTCCAAAATTGTCAGTATTTAGCAAAGAATGGCAAAGCTATTTGATAAAAGTATAAATATATTTATATTTGAACATAATTCTAATTACCTAGATTAAAAATTAAAATTGTCATAATATATAGCTATTTAGAATCTAATAATTACCTACATACAGGGTGGACCATGAGTATGTTTTTGGTTTTTTTTTTTTGTTTATAGAGGGCTTTGATTTTGTATACTAAAGTATTGAGTCATTTTTTTTTATCGGTTTTAAGTTTCAATTTATTAATTACCAGAAATGCACCAAAATGTAGACTTACCATAAAATTAGATTCTATCAGATATAAAAGTATTTAAATATGTAATTTATCATATTACTGAATACAAATTAAAATTGTGTTGCTTAATAGTTTAATATTTTTATAAAATAGATTTTTAATTTACTTTTATGCAACTGTAGAAATGTAAGTTTATGGAAAGTCTCCTAAGTTTTTTAATATGCATTTAGTCTATTTTAAGTTAAGGAGATTACGTTTTTCAAAACGGCTTATTACATAACTTGATACAAAACCCACCCACAACATAGGTGCAACTGTCGTAGGACTGCATTTATGACTGCAAAAATAAGGTATACGTTCAATTTTAGAATTTTGTACTTAAGTACTTTCTATTTTTGGAATCATTCATGTTCATTTTATTAGTTTCTACTTGTATATTTTTGTACCACAATTTATAAAACCCAACTAAATGCTAAGAACAATTTAAAATATTATGAGTTACATTATTTACTAATTACTATTTACATATTGATTGCTATTAAGTTTCCTATTTTATTATTGTTGCAATAAAATCATAATATAGAATATATTATAATACAATCAGATTACTGCAACTATCATTATCATCTGTCATCTAGAAAAAAAAAAGATTGTAAGTGTTCAATTTTGTGTTTAGTGAAATTAGAAGAAATTATGTCTCAAAATAGATTTTAGAATATTTATATATGATTACTATGTTTGTATATTACTTATGTAATTTTTTTTTTTTGTGTATGAAAAAATGTCAAGTAGAAAAACGAATAAAAAATGCAATAATTGTTGTTGTTTTACAGATATCTTTGTTTAAACTCTTAAGCTTTAAAACTTTTTGACTCAATTAAATTACCTCTACAATTGAGAACTACAACTTCTGAACACTCCTAATTATATTTAAAAATGTGTTGACATCTAATGATGACAAGCTGGTATAGTTTAATTTTTTCTAATTAAATAATTACAATATTATTCAACTATACAATTTTATTGAATCAAATAATTAAGTAGATAATTATGGCAATGAAATGCAAACTATTTTGTTTGTAGACAACTCACAAAAAATTATAATTGTTACGTTTCATTATCATGACTAAAGTTGAAATATTTTTAATCTACAATACAAGTATTTAAAATAAAATAATTCGTTGGAATATAATATATAAATATAACAAATATTTTAATAATAAATAATAAAAAACCGAAAACGCAACTAAATATTTGTAAAAAATAGTTAGTTAAAACTAGTACACAATGTTTGAATTGCAAAAAATTAGACAATAGACATGACCTGTAGAAAATAGAATATAAACTAAGTTTTGATCATCAATCACCATAGTTGTTGGTTTTAAAAAAAATGGGTTTGAATTAAAGTCCATTTTGTAAAATATGGTAAGCTGCTCCAAGCGCCCAACTTATTTCATGTCCATCAATAGTATTTAGTAACTAAACATCAAATTCATAATTAGATTAAATTATTTGAATAATTACATAGATAAAATAAAAGTGACGACGGTAAAGACTTACAGAGACTGAAGTTTCGACCGGTAAACCAAAACCTTGTTCCAATAATACAGAAATATAAGTTAAATCAAGGCATTTAAATGGACGTAGCTCATTATAACTGGTTTGAGAACACTCTGGAAAAATTCAATTTATTATAAAAACTATCAATATTATTACAAATTAAAACAAATTACCTCTCTCTGCTGCTTCATAAAACGATTTTATGGTAACGTCTCCTCCTTCTTCGCCTAAAAATTACAATAATAGTCATAAATCAAATAGTAACAGTAATGTACAAATTACAATACTATGTTCATGTTTAAAATCTTAATACATACTGACGAGACCGGCATCTTGAGCTCTGTCATAAAAGTACGAAAATGCTACTATTTTCTGGTTGAGCAAATCTTTGGGTTTGTCAGTGTACACGGTTTTAACCACAGCTTCAATAATACTCTTACATAGCAAGTAATCAACAGCTGGACCTTTTTTTGATGGTGCCCCACTAAAATGAAACATGATAATATGGTAATAACTAGGGCTCGGATTTAAATGTCCTAAAAATATCGAAAAATGCATTTATGACCAAAAAATTTTAAAAAATATGTGCACCACCATAACATTCATATCATACGATATGATAGATGAACCACAGATTATAATATGATTTCATATAATCTGTGGATGAACTATATATATAATTAGTAACCGACTGGTTGACATGTGTGACATTAAGATAAATTTGTGAATCATTTTATTTAAAAACCATATTACCTAATGTTGTATTAGCACAATAATATGGGTATTTATAAATTTATTTTTTTCGCAATATTACTAGAAATAGAAAAAAGCTATAATAATTATAAATAATGACACAGGCGCGGACTGGTAAAAAGGGGCAAAGAGTGCTACATTTAATGGACAAATAACAACTATTTTTGGGGAAAATTTATATCTTTTTATATTCCCAAGAGGGTAAAAATATGATATTGAAGTTACAATTTTACAATTTACAGAGCAGGTATTTAGATAAAAGGGGCAAAGTATAAAAAGGACATCACAGTCAGTTGGCGCCTGTATGTAATACTCTAAAACGATTGAAAATTACTTTAAACGTCAAAAACATAAAAAAAAAAAAATGATAGCAAAATACCTATGTATTATAACAATTGTATCTTGAAAAGAGTAACGTGCCAAACATTCCAGAAAAAAAAAATGCAAACATATTGAAATCCGAGTCCTAGTAATAACTAATACGTATAAAAGTATATAGACAATCAAAAGATTACTCAAGTAATCAAAAGTAATTCATATTTTTATCCTAAAAATAAACAGCTTGCTTAAAAAAATTATTAATATAGTAACTCAAATTAAAACTTACGTTACGTGGTAGGTATTTTGAGCAAATTTGTAAGGTGTTCCTTTGGCCGCTTCTTGAACACATGGACTAGTAACATTCAACAAGTCACCATCAACAGTAAACACACTCTTTCTAGCAGCCATTAATCCCAAACCTAAATAACTAAAATACATTTTTTTAATTGGTTTTTATGATACAATATTAGTTCAATTTCAATATACCTGTGGCTATACAAGTTTACTTTTTCATTCATTATCGAATACTCTGTAATAAATTCTGGTAATTCTTTTATGATTTGTTTACTATTAGTAGGGATAAATGTGATCTGTATAGATCCACCACCTAAATCAAGAGCAGCTACTGAATTTGTCAATTTACCATTCAAACGGTCTGAAAAAAAATAAACTTACAATAACAGCTTTATAAATAAATATATTTATAGGAATGTGTTTTACCAAGAAGAAAATTAACTGTAAACCATGAAAAAAGACCCTCGTCAATACCATCCATTATGGCTACTGAATTTTCATTGGTATAAAATGGATTGTGTTCAAATAACTGTACTACCTTTAAAAAACACAATTATTATTAAAGTTAATTCAGCAGTTATTTTTTCAAAAAAATACTTCATTGAGGAGACCATCTGCTTTTTCTGTTGGTAATAATCTTAAGCCTGCTGTTGCTCTCATTGCAAGTGGTGTACTTTTCCAATACCGTTCTGGCACAAAATTTCTGGCTTTGGCTAATAACTGATCAATTGATTCAGCACCCTAAAATACAAACATAACTTAATAAACTTTAGACATTAAGTTGAATTTATTAGTTCCAAAAAACAAAATTTACTTTTTTTGGATCATCAGCAAAACTAGATAAGCCTGGTTTAACTTGTACAAATAATTCATCTTCTAGCTCTAAAGAACCACCTATAAAATAATAATAATAATAATAAGTATTAAATATTAAGATAATATTTATATTTTAAATATTTTGTTTACTTGGTGTTTTTTTAAAAGCTAATGCTAATACTCTTGAACCAGTACTTCCTGCGTCGATAATAACAGCATATACAGGTTCTGATAATGGTTGCTTTTTAACAACTTCGTCTCCAAAATCTGATTTATATATAGTGTAATATGCTGGAATTTTTAAAATTGAATTAACTGACAGTAAATGATAATCACAAAAATATAATTATATAAATTATATTCAACTTACAGTATATTACCACAAAACCTATAGCAAAAATACTATACAGCAAATATTTAGTTTGATTTACTTCAGGTTTTATTTTATCATTTATATAAGTATCATCTTCTTCAACAATCTGTGAAAAATGATTAAAACACAATGTTGATTAGTGATTACTATACAATGTGTCAATATTGACAGGGTTTGAAAGTTAACATTCTTACAATGTAGGCACATAGCTATGATACAAAATGTAAATTTACCATTTCTAATTTCAAAAGAAAATAGCCAGTTCTTGAAATTATTTTATTATTTTCTTAAAGATATTAAACAAATCAGTTTTAAAAAATATTAAAAATATACATAGATACATAACACAAAAAAAAATAATACAATCGTATCCTAACTGTAGTATTTTTTTACATGTATAAGATTATGTAACACAAAATAACTGTATTTAATATTACTGATGATATAAAATATGAGTTGTATGATAAAAGTAACAGAAAAATCAATTATGTCTTGCCTTATAGTAATTATATAATTATATTTTACACTTATCACAAATCATTCTCTAGTTTAATACAATAAGAACTAACATAGGTAATCATAGGTGTATTTCTTTAAACTTTTAAATAATTATGTTTCCATCACATCTTACATAGTATCCCTGTCAACTCGATGCATTTATAGTTTAACTATTAAATTCACATATAACCATATAAACAGTAGTTATAAATTATAAATTAAAGTTGTTCTATAATAATTACCAATTACCACTGACTCATACATCTATACCAAGTTTATTGTTTTTTAAGGTTCTATCAATTATAATTTTTAACTTACGGAGTTGTTTAAATGTACAATAGGTGTACATTTTCCTACCATAGTTTATATTGCAATTTTTAGGACTATTGAAATTAAATATATAAAGTTGAACAATTTAAGTAAGAATCTGCTTTAAATTGATAAACTGTATAATATTACATATTATGCGTGGAGTTGGCTTTTAGCTATAAATGTGTTAGTATTTAATGCTATAATTTAAATAAATGTGGTATACATTATACCTACTATTATACACAGACAATTATTAGCAACTGTGTCAATACTGTACCTATATTTTCTTTTGCATATACTTTATTTTACATATTTTATTCATCATTTAAACACAGTAATTAATACATTAACCGGATAGAAGACATTGAATCATTATATTTGTTAATGGAGTTATATTTTTATAATTAAAAAATGTTGAATGAAATTGATTTAAATGTGGAATGGACACAAATAAGCCCATTTTTGGTGGCTGATGCTTACAACCACCCACCTTCTATATGTTATGAAGCCACTCAACGGGACTGTAAGTTCACAATCAAACAGATGCATAGAATCATTGCTCAAGGCGGTAACATCAACTGCAGGTCTGAGGTCATCGTAATAGTCAACCAGCACTGTGAACACTGGTCACTGACCAGCAAGTATACTAAATTCAACTATGAATGCCGGCTGTGTATGCAGGATATTCCAAATTTTGTATGACTTAAATGGTGAGGATTTTGTTAGTTATAACGCCATCATCAGTTATGTAACACAACATTTAGAAAAATCTGTATATATAGCTAAATTACATTCAAAACAGAACTAGGTAGTTATAAATTATTATAACATATTTTATTTTTTAGTAAAGTGATAAATACTCTCGTAAATACTATATAACAAGTTGACTGCCACGGTATTTTTATAGAGCTATTCTCATACGCCTTGAGTACCAAATATGGAAGTCACTCGGTTTGGCTCTTAGTGTTTTATGTTTTATGGATTATTGAGTACCAATAATAATATAGTGACAAAATCACAAAAAAAATTATTAGTTATCAAGGTCAAACGGGAATTAGTACTCATAGCGTATGAGGATAACTCTACAAAAATACCGTGGAGCAGGAGACAAACCATGTGAGTACGAGATAGGGTACTCAGGGCAGTCAACTTGATAAGTAATACGTAGGTACCTAATTTTAAGTTCAGACTTAAGCAGGCGCGTAGCCAGGATCATTTGAGATTGGCGTTTCAATTTTATGTTTTATACAACATGTGGGAGGGGGGGGGATTACACACTCGATTGTAATCACTTATCTTTGTATTAATAATACCAAACGGCAAATAAGTTCAAAGTCCCGAAGTAGAAAAGGCATGACAGGACAATTCCCTCAATTTTATTTTGTTTTCCTAAACATTTATTTTAAACAATGCATTTCAAATAAGTGTATACGAATAGATATTTTTTTATTTTTAACATAGGTATTCAACAACTGGTCCTCCAACCTAAACTGGCAGCTGTTTCATTAGCAATATAATCATTTATTTTATAGTTAAATACCATAATATAAGACGTTGAGTTAATACATCAACTAACAACAAAATATATAGTCGTACAGATAAGTGCTGAGATTCAACACTATACTCTGTCTACCGAGAGAACATGCTGATTTTATACATTCCTATTTGACTACTATCAACGATACCAGTTCCGCTATGGAAGAGTGTCCCGTGGGGATGCACAGAAGTACAGATTTTTGTCAGGACACAATGTATTCTATCACTGGACAGAGTATAAGTTGGTTCAAGGTGACATAGCATTCTGAGGAGTGATTGATTATAAGTGTAAGATGTCAGATGGGTCAGAATGAAAAATGGGGAATGTTCCTTGCAGGGTGTGAAGGTTCATATTTTATTTATTTAAAATGAGATTGATGTCATAAAGATTATCATAATAATGTATGCATACCTACTTAATTCTATTATACATCAATTTTGTTATAAAACATTTGTTTTTAACAATTAATATGAATATATGATATAGTTTTACTTTAAATCATGTTAAAATTCATTCAACACCAAAAATTAAATTTAAGATTTTTATTTCAAAGGGACAAATATAAATTATTACAACTTTAATATTATAGGTACAAATCCTTTTATACTTTTATACTATTATACACATTTTCTTAGTAGGTAATTACAAAATGTAAATATTAATTTTGTAAAAATATAGTTACCTAACTATAGATAAGACATAATTTTTTTTATTATTGAGATAAAATCATTTACATCTTAACTCTTAAGATACATTAAGATATTATACAAAATAAATACCTAGGTACCTTTGATATGTATCTCTACAAAAATTATAAATGTTAAAATGTATAATAATTATAAGAGTTACAAATTAAACAACTAACTTATGCAAGTTATAATTTATAAAATATAGATATAGGTATTAGGTATAAATTATGTACGTAATACTTGGTGACCTTCTTCACTCAACACTGACCCTGAATTCTAAGTCAGTATAATATTAGGTATCATGTAAAAACAGTCATTAGGTACCCATTACCTAGCAGTGGAAAATTAATAAAACTCCATCTTTCCCATTCAATTTAAGCACATTGTCAATGTATTTTATACTGTAGGTACTAACTAAATATCAGATCAGAATAATATATAAAACGATTTAGGTAGGTGTAACTATTTCAGATTTTAAACTAGTATACCTAATTATAAAACAACTTTTATATTTTAAACGCAATGGCCATATAGTTTCTAAGGATTATCTAAATAAAAAAATTAACATATTGATTTTATTTTTTTCAATTTTCAACATACTGATGACAAAAAAAAAAAAATACCCAGTATGCTAGAAGGTTCCCCTGGATAGTGAATATTAGATCCCTAATGCGTGACTATTGATCTATTTACGTCATTACTTTTTAGACCATACATTATCAAATTTGGATTAAAAAAGTTAAATTATATAATATAAATAGGTAGGCATGCCATACGGGTTGATTTGTCCAGAATGCTCAACTTTACTTTAATGAATTTAATAAAAATTTTAATTTTTTAGTCTCAAGTCACTTAAAGACCATATGTAAAATACCGAGATTATACCATTCTAAGAGCTCAAAAATGTTTACTAAAAGAAGGACAAATCACATTAGGAAAAAAAATAAGTATTAGAATATTATAGTGTTCAAGTTCAAGTAAACTTAAAAACTAAAATAAATGCATACAGTGGCGGATCCAGAGGGGGGTGCTAGGGTGCTATAGCACCCCCCTTGGCATGTTGCTACCTGGTTAAAAACAAATACTATATACTATACATATTTTTCAGTGGGCCGGGTACGTTATACTAAATCGGTAACAAAATAAATAATATTATAGAGACTAACATAGCCATAACTATACATTTTTTAAGGAGCTGGGTGGTTATAAATACAAATAAAAATTGAGCAATTCAATTTTATAATTATTATGTAAAATTCATTTTTAATTCTTTTTTAAAAAATATTGACAATTTCATGTATACATAATATATATTTTAATGTTATCTTATTGTGAATTTAACACAAAAGTCATCAAAGCAAGTCCAGACAATCTAACATTTCCTTGTTGATTCCTCAAAACGATTTTAATTAACCGGTTAAATTAATCATGGTAAAAAACTGTAAACACGTTTGATATACATGACATGGTTTAATTGAACCTGCAATTTAACTATGGGCTCTGGCCTAGGGAGCCTATATACGCCACTGACTTTAATACTTTGGTATTATACATTTAGAAATTATAGATATCTTAAGTAGTTGACACCTTCGCTTGAAAAAAAAAAAGGAGGATGGAATTAGAAGATTGGTCAAAATGTCCAAATCATTTTAATTTGTTTTTGTCAATCAATTATTAAGAAATAAAAAATACAATAAGTGGATGTGATATAATTTAAATTTCTTGTTTACATTTTTATGTTTTATTTTTTTTTTAATAAAGGTATTTGTTTTAGATGTACTTTTAAAGTTGTCACTTATCTTTATCCTTTTAAATATTCAGCAATGTGCTTTATGTGCAATTGCCAATTAGGACTAAAAAAATGTCATGCCATCAGTATGTAGTATACAGAATACAATATTATACCTTAACCTAAGCACCCCCCATAAAAAAATCCTAGATCCGCCACTGAATGCATAGTTAAAGAGAAAAAGTGGGTATGAGTATGCTTGGTGAAACAACTTATATATTATAAACTTTAAAAAAAAAAAATGTAATTGAGCAACTACAGAACACTATGACAAATATTATTATGATCAATACAGTGATGTCGAAATAGACGTTATTAGAAAATCTGTTCCACAAACCTTTTTAGTTTTCTTAGTGTGTCTTTCCATTTCAGTAAATTAAACACCAACTAGGTATACCGAAGTCGACGAAACTCCGTGGTTCGTAGTGTGAATAATATTAAAAAAACCTATGTAAGTATATTAGGTTTAGCAGTACGGAGGATATTAAGCTGAGACACGGTAAACCAACAGTAATAATATAGTGTTAGTCGACTGTTGTAGTACCAGTTCACTCGTCAAACACTGTTTACAGAATACGGAAATCTTCTTTAGCCGAATGCCGAGGCCGAGTAGGTAATGTTTATCTTATCGACGTTATCATTTATGAAAACACAGTAAATAGTATAATATGTATATTATGTATTTCTAATCGTATCCCAACCAGCATGTTGCATAACATATGATGAATCCACTGATAAAAACTTGACTGAGACTCCGCCTTTTTTCCAAAGCTTAAAAAATAGGTAAAATATTACGTATTATGACGTAACACTCATAACTCGTAAGTCGTAACACACTACTGACTTTTAGAGTAGGTATACGACATGAGTACATACTACATGACTGTTAGTTTATTATTTACAGCGTTTTGCAGTAGCTATTTAATACAGTGTCACTGAAATTGAATTTTTATCGCCAAACCGTCCAACCTACCAATGGTAGGTAGTTTTTCATGAAGTCTGATATAATATAAAACCGTTTTTGTTATTAATGCATTATTATACATTAATGTTTAAGCAATAAGCATTAGTGAGTAATTAATAATTATACATATTATATAAGTGTATTGATTAGTAAAAATTACAATATTACTGCTGTGTAATTATACTTGTTAACCGCGGTGATAGTAAATGAGCAAACGAAATTAATAAAGCTAAAAAAAATACAGCAATACATAAAATCAAATCAACATTTTTAGAAATTTCTTATTTTTAATTCTGGCAAATTTATCAACATCATTGTTAGAATCAATTTTACTTGTTTTATCTTTCTGAATATCTGTTACCATAACATCACTGAAAATCAAATCGGTCGGAAAAATATAAGGACCCTTTCACCCCAAAAAACGGTGTCACTGGGGCACTGTATAAAATGTATGTATTGTACACACAGTGAAACCTAAATAACACTAATCGGCGAGGGACAAAAATCCTAGTTATAAAAAAAATGTTCTTTTATGAAACAACACAAATACTTTATTTTTGATTTTGTTTATTTGTTCGTGTAGCCGTGTAGGTACTTACATTATCAGCTATTACTTGGAAAGATACGTCTTATATTATATACATTAAAGTTTTAAAAAAAATATTCAATAAATGAAATAAAAAAATTCTATTACATAATAGTATTATGTATATTGTAAATTGATTTATTTATTGACCTTATCTCGATTTAATATACAGCATTCTTTTTTAAATGAAACCGGTCAGTTCTGTTTATTTACATTTTACATACCTACGTTATCATTAACGTAATTGGTTTTTATTCAACAAAATATATACCCGGGTCGCAATTTTCATGAAAACTTAATACTCTAAAGGAGTTCACCTGCCAAAACCCAAATATCTAACAAATATATTATGTAGGTGAGCATATTTTTTATTTAGACACTCGAATTTCCAATTTTGCCGAAATTGAATACTTTTTTTTTTATATTGAAATATATCTACAATCCATACAATTTTTTATGTACAATAAGTAGGTTTGATAATTGACAGTAAAATTGAAAACCTAAACATAGATTAACGATTTTAGCTATTTTAACTTTACTTTAAAAATATTCGGAGACACTTGAAATGTTTACGTATCACATATTTTTACTTCGGGCAATGACATATTCTAAATATTTAGATTAATTTAAGCAATTTCCTATTTATATAGTTTATACCATATTACTGATAAGTAGTAAAATAAATGTCTATGATAATTAATAGCAATATATATATTATAAATATATAAATATAGGATAATGTAGGTACTTAGGAACAGCGCCGGGGCGAGCGGGGCACATGCCCGGGGCCCCGCGCTTTCAGGGCCCTGCTAGAAATTATTATTTAAAATAAAATTATTTATATTTAAAACTCTTTTGTTAAGTTCCATACAGGATTTTATTATAGAGTATAGCTGCATAATATTATCTTGATGTGGTCGATCTCCGAAATATTAAAATATATGTATTATTGTAGATGAGTTATAAATAAATCGAATTCGTAATTATTTCAAACCGCGATAACGATTCATAAATTTTATTTTCGTAAAAACCAAATGCATGCTACTTGTACTGGGTATCTGTGTGTTTCTGTTATTATTTGATTATCATGACTCATGATTAACAACAATATTATATTAATAATATTTTTATTTTATTGTCATTTCACGTTCATATTTCATATTATGAACGGAGTACCATGTCCCAACAACGACTCACTGGACTAGCCACAATTTGTATTGAAAAAGAACTATCCGAACAGTTGAACTATGAAGAAATTATAAATGATTTTGCTTCCAAAAAAGCCAGAGAGAAAATTATTAGTAGTATAGTTAGTTAAAACTATCTATATCAAATATAAATTATAATTTTGAATGTTTACTTGATATTTTTATGTACTAAAGTCTAAAAAATGATTTCAAATTAATTAACTATATTATACTATATTTTTTATTTTGATAATGTTGAGAAGTTTATAAAATAAAAGGGAATTAAAAAAAAAAAATAAAAGTAAATTGATTGTGTAAGTAATAATACATACTTCTATATTTTTTTATACACTATAATATACTTGTAATCGCTAAAAAATATAATAATATTACATATTATGTTAAGCTTGATGTAAAACACTATTCAAATATAAAAACTTCCTAGTTCAGTTTCTCAAATAAAATCTTTTACCTACTATAAAATCATATTTTGTATTTTTTTGCATACATACTGTTTATTGTTAAACGAACTACGAAGCATGCTTTATTTATTTTCAAGTATTAGATACTTATAAAATTCTAATATATAGAGTATAGAGTCTAATATCTATATTATAGACTGTAAAGGTAGGTACATACCTAATATTAACAAATATAACTACCTATGTAAATTATATAAAATATGTATAGGACTTGTATTTTTTCCAGTTGGTAGCCAGTAGGTTTTTGCTTTCAATATTTCGGATATTGGGGACCCTTTCAATATGATGTGCCCCGGGCCCCGAAAAACCTAGCCCCGGCGCTGCTTAGTAATATTCTAATATAGGTGACTGACCGCAGTGGCGTGTAGAACATTTTACCCCCGATACCTTAAACGATTACCCCCCCCCCCCTTAAGGATTTTTTTTTTACTTGAATTATAGTGCCGTATGATATAATGAATATGAAATTCATAAGTCATAACTTTAACTTCAAACTTAATAAATGATACAAAAAAAGTATTTTTAGAATATCTTATCAATTATATTGTTATTTGATTATCAATACAAATTATCTAATTTAAATAACAATATTATGTTCAAAACACATTTGAAATTGGTTATAACCAGGGCTCGTAACTTCATGCACTAAAAAATGCATAAATAAGCATGCATTCATGCACTAAAAATTGTCAAAATATGCATTAAAATATGCACTTAAAAGTTCAAAAATATGCATTTATATGCATTAACATTTTTAAATTATGCACTCAAAATATGCATTATGTAAAAAAAACATGACCAAATTTTAAAATAATAAGAATAAATCCATACATTTTAAAAGTATTTTATTCCTTTTAATTTTTATATATTTAACAGTCAAAATTAATAAAATAAAAAATAAAATTAATACTTGTGAAGTTCAAATAGCTTTGTCATCTTTATAAATTTTAATTAGGTAGTCAATTTTGTCTAATTTGTGTACACCCTTTTTTTTTATTATCTATGGTTATAACTTATAACCATAGATAATAAAAAATGTTTTCTTGGTTATAACCAAAATTGCTGTAGACAACTTGCTACGGTTATAGTTTTAGATTATAGATAGAAATATAGAATGATAGATAAAATCATTTTACCCCCAAGCAGTGCTGCAGCGTGCTGCACCGCCGTATAAATCTGTTGGGGAACCCAAAAAGAGTCTCAAGGACAAATAGTCTCGGGACAAAAAAAGTTCATAACAATTTAAACAACTAAGATTTTTATAATTATGTAATATTTTATTTTTTATTCTGACATCTAACTTAGTGGTATGGATATGTATATTTTGTTAATAATATTATAGACTAAGATTCAATGAGATATTATTTTATAATTTTATAATTATTATCTATTATTTTTGTTAATATCTGTTTTGTATTTATTAAAACAATTTTTAAAAGTTACAGCGATAACAATTTATGTAACTAGGATTTTTATAATTATGTAATTTTTTTTTTCCTATTCTGTATAATGTTCCTGACAAGTCTTCTAACTTAGTGATATATAAATGTATAATATTTTAATAATATAATTGACTAAGATTGAATGAGATATTTTAGATTCTGAGTGAAACGATGAATGTATTGATTTTACAATGATGTGTGTTTTTTTTTTTTTATTTTTTTTACTTTTTTTATTTTTTTTTTATTTTTGTGTCTGTCATCACGTTTTAGGACAGTAAAAGTGCTTGGATTTTCTTCAACAGTATCTTTTCTGATAGGAAAGTGAATCTAGTTGGTACTTTGGGGGGTCAAAAGTATAAATGTCCCAGTAGTTTTCACAAGCACCGGGAAAAACAACATAAAAATTAAGGAAAAACGGGAATTTTTACGCAAAATCGGTTTTCCAAAAAATCGATTTTGATTTTTGGTGTAACTCTAAAAGAAATGAACGTATATACATGAAATTTTCACTGGTTGTTTATATTTGCATTTTGTATACACGATAACATTTTCAAAATATTTTGATTTATTTTGAACTGTTTAGGGACATTTTCATTTTCCATCTTTTTTTAGTTTTTTTTCTAAAAATATCAATAAAATTTTATTTGTTGGTTGCGAAAAGTTGAAAATTTAATAGAAGGCTCCTAGTATATTGTTTCAAAGTCAG